ATGTGGGATGGTAACACTGCTGGTGTTCAGGCCGAGTCAAGGCAGTGTGATGACCCGTCTGGAGAGGGCAGTGATGTCGAGACGCCCGACGAGTGATGTGCTGATGTGTAATAGTTAAATTGTCACTTGTAATTTGTTGTTGAGATTTGTTGTTAAGATTTGTTGTTTAAATATATTGAGTCTAAGACTATTATCAAGGTATTATTCGTCTAACGTTATTCGTACTGATCCCACATTTTGGGGGCCTGTCCGGGATCGTAATCGAATCGTTATTCTGAATGGTGTAGCCTGGACGGATAGACTCGTACCGATTGTTTTGTTCGTAAGTGCCGTTCGTATAGGTAATAATGCGTGGTTCAAAATTCGCCGTGTGAAATTACTCATGTGCTAAACTGTCGTACGACACATGGTACGCCTTTGTTGTTTTTGCGCGGGGAAAACGTGGTGTGTTGTAGGCTGTCGTATATCACCATTTACATAACCTCAAATTGTCGATTATCAGCAGCGAAGTTTAACGTACTAGTACCGTGGTACACTGTTATCATTGATAAAACGCTAGCCGTGATTACGGCTAATTGTTGTTTGTGTATTGTGCGATTGTGAGAATTTTGGTCGCATAATGCCTCCTCGTAAACGGAAGTCAGCAGCCAGGAAGCAGTCGCCGAGCATTAGTAGTGTTCACCTCGAGACTGAAGCTCCAAATGGCAATGCGATCAAATTCTGCGATGTCCAAGACGCATTGTCACCCTTTACGGGTGATGGTCATTGTTCAGTGGCGAAGTGGCTCAACGACTTCGAGGAAATGGCGTTGTTGTGTGCTTGGTCAGAACTACACAAGTTTATTTACTGTAAACGCTTGCTCTCAGGAACGGCGCAGGCTTTTGTTAGGTCAGAGGATGGTTTGAGCTCATGGACAGTGTTACGCGCTCGGTTACTTAGTGAATTTCGTAGTCGGCTAACATCAGCAGATGTCCACCGATTGCTCTCCACCGATTTTAAGCAAAAAGACGAAACGTTGTTGCAATACCTGTATCGAATGCGCGAACTGGCGATGCAAGGAGGTGTCCCTGATGACGCGCTGATGGACTACGTCATTGGTGGAATTCCAGATGCAGTGGTTAACAAAAGTATGCTTTATGGTGCAACTTCCATCCCCGAATTCAAAATTAAATTGGAGCTGTATGAGAGGATGTGCGAAAGACGGAACGCCGAATCCAAGTATAGTATGCCACCTGCCCCTGCACATAATGTCCCAGCGGAAGTAAGATGTTACAATTGTGGCGATCGAGGACACCAGTCGCGAGAGTGTCCCGATGCGGGTAAAGGACCCAAATGTTTTGCCTGTCGAGGGTACGGGCATAAATCGTTTGCTTGTCCCACCAAGTCTGATAACCAGCATGCAGGTAGAATAGACCCGCCGATGTCTACCAGGTCAACGGTCACAATACGGATGGTAGGATTGTAAAACCGGTGTATATCCTTGGCCAGGAGGCGTTGGCCCTGGTTGACACCGGATGTGATATACATCTATGCCGAGAGTCGTTTTTTAAAAAGTTGAGTGGCATACATAGCATCCCGAGCCGTACACAGTTGAATGGACCAGCTAACGCGTACTTTCATACGGATCGTCGTTTCGAATGTAACCTAACCGTGGATGGAGAAAGCTACCAAGTTGATGTGCATTCTGTACCCGATAGTGCCATAGGGTATGATGTTATTTTAGGTCGACCATTATTCCAGACTAATGCGGTACTAAGGGTAAGCCCTCAGTCTGTGACCATTACTCATGTCAATACTGCCCAGCAGTTAATGAACATCAACACTAATGTCAACGAGTTGGATGAAGGCGTGGGAACTCAATCGGTCGTAGTGCAGGAATTGATCGATGCATACCACCCAGTTCAAGGTGTTACTGCCCCAATGAAAAAGGTCATTGTCCTGCATGATGAGACTCCAGTATTCCAGCGACCCAGGAGATTGGCGCCGCAAGAAAAGATGGCAGTAGATAAACAGATCCAGGAATGGTTATCCGAAGGTATCATACAACCCAGTTGCTCGGAGTATGCCAGTCCCGTCGTGTTGGTCAAGAAGAGGGATGACACACTTCGACTCTGTATCGATTTCCGCGAGTTAAATAAAAAAAATGAAAGGGACCATTACCCGTTGCCATTAATTGACGACCAGATTGACCGCCTACGAGGCGCAGTAGTTTTCTCGACACTAGATCTGCGAAATGGATTTTTTCATGTTCCAGTGGATGATGATAGCATCAAATATACCTCGTTTGTTGTACCTAACGGTCAGTACGAGTTCCTACGCACACCATTTGGACTATGTATATCACCACCCATGTTTCAGAGATATGTGAATTTCATTTTCCGTGACCTCATCCGGCTTGGCC